TTTAGTAGGGGAACCCTCCCCTAAAAAAGGGTTCAAGGGCACTACTGGAGGACCTAGCTTTGCAGGAATGGTCTCAAAGGCAGCCCGTGGCTATCCCTGTCATCGCCAAATGGCCACTTACTCGCCTTGCCCATGGGATGTGTCGAGCGTCAGTCAGGTGGATGACCTGTTTGCTACAATCGCCATCCTTTGGGCTGAGAGGCCACGAGAAAAGTTCCTCATTTTGTCCGAAAGAGACAGCAGCTGCAAAGCTTCCCAGAACACCAACACATGCTGTATGGCAATTTCACTGCGGGATTCAGGTCATGCAACTTTGCTGCAGCTTTACTTCATGTTGCAAGGCAGGACTTGCTGCACAGAGCTTCCTCTTCCTGAGGGTTTCGTGGCTGGGCTTCCATCTCACCCACTAAGAGTAGAATAGCTTTTAGCAGGGGATCCGCCAACGGACAGCCCAGTAAATCTAGAACACGGTTTGGATGAGCTGGGCGGCAAGCAGTTCACCACATTCACCAACTTATGATGCCTCCTTAGCCAAGTGGATCGCACGTGGCACAATGAGTCTGTTGCACGTGGCACGCGGTATGAACGGATGATTCATGTTCGTTTCACTTTGGATCTGGAAGAACCTGTCGCTAATTAGCTTGCCTGTCACCCTGCCATGAAGAAAACTCCTTGTGAATGACAAGTGGGAGGCAACAGTTTCAGGGCCCCCTCCAATGTCAACGCGCACGCACACACCCAAGCAGGCACACACGCACACGATCATCATGAAGGCAGAAAAACAACAACATGGCAAGAATCGCAGCATTGATGCTAGCCACTTCAGTCGAAATATTCGGCCCCAGAAACCCATGGGCCGAACATGCCAAACATAGCTGAGGATCCCGCACAAAGCACCCTAAATGGCGACACCTGGGCGGAGGGTTGCTCTGCAATTGTTGGACAACTGCGCACTTCCTTGCATCTTGACCCACAATTCCACCACCCAAGCAGTCTGGTCATAATTTGCCTGAAATCCCGCACTTGAGATTGTACATTTGGAGGCCAATCCTCCAAAGGGCTGCACCTCTAGCTCAAGTTCACTATGGGCAGCATCTTGTGACTACCTGGTTGCACCTTGCCCTCCATTTGCTTAAGTCCCCTGGGAAAAAATAACAATATTTCCACCAACAGGGGAAAATAAGCCATATTCATTTCAGCAAATGGAAGTTGCAAAGCACTCGGCCTTTCAAGGCATAGCCCCCGGCGGCATTCGAGCTCTCCTTGCTCACGTAAGCTGCCGCGCGCAAGGCCTCGAGATCACCCTGAAGATCTGGTTTGGGGGTTCAGGCTGCTCAGCTGAAGAAGTGAACTCGGTTGCTTTCTGCTCCCTTGCTAAAAGTGACTAACTTTTAGTGGTTTGATGGAAAACCCATTAGTTGGCAAAAGGCTAAAGTCCTAACATCCATGCAAAATGCACCAAAGTGAAGGGAGGCTCCTTGGAAGGGCCCAAATGCTGTGTTTGAACAATTGCAAGTGCCACAGCCCAACAAAAAACTGAGATAATCACATCGAATTGCCAGGCTCAAACCTGCCTTCATGCCAACCCGGAAAGTCAGAAAGCGCGGATCGCCTTGGCATGGCTTCACGAGTACCATGCCTCAACGCAGTACTTGCTGAGCAGCGTCACCAGCTCCTGCGACCTGAGTGTCGCTCGGCGCCAGGACTCAATCGACGCTTGGTAGTTGATTTCTTTGTTGGTCGTTGGTGTTGACCCCCTGCGAAAAGTTTAACTTTTTGTGAGTTTACTGTAGTGGAAAAGTCCTTGATTTACCAAAAAGTTCAAGTCTAAAGATCCAACCCAATAGCAGTCAAGATTTGTATCTGTGGGAGGCTGCCGCACGCAAACAATGACACCTGCAGAACGACACAACATGGGCTTGCACCCCCCTCCCCCCCGCGCAAGCACAAGCGGAATCGTCCCAGGTCCGCATTTCGGGTATGCCGCCTTCAACAAGCTGGTCACTGTGGGGCGACCTCTCATGAACAGCAAGATTGATCCGCACTGGCAGAATGTTCTGCCAAACATTATCTTTGTCAAAGCTGCGGTCAAGCCAGAACGGCAATTCCGAGCCCCACGGCCATAGCACATGAAGAACGGGCTCCTCCTTGGCGGACGGGTTGCATGTCAAATTGTCAAACTGTTCCATAAGCCAAAGCACACCGTTGCCGAGGCTGAATTCGAACAAAGCCAAATGCGCATGATGGCAGTTGGCAACGCGCCCGCGCTAAAACCTCCCAGTCCAAACTCAGGTGGAGAGCGCGTGTGTGTGTGCATCGCTCTATCAAGCGACTGAGGGTTCAGAACCCCCTGTCCAAACAGCAGTGCTGCTATAGCACAAGCCACGTCTGTGCTGAACTGCTTTGGTCAACATGCGGAAGGCTCATAGAAAGTGTCTCTCCGGCTTTCTGCTACATATGCCTCTCCCAATCCGTCCCGCGCGTGTTGAACGAGCACGCTGGCTGCGAACGACTGCAACTCTTTGCAACGCGACTCAAGGGCATGTCCAGCCAATGCAAGCCTGCTGGGCACATCCCTCAGGCAGGATAGTAAAACGATTTCATGTCCAAGCCTGCCACTAAAAGAGACTGCATGCCTGTTCCCCCAAAACATGGCAGAGCGCGACAAACAGAACGAAGGGCAGGGCATGACAACTGTTGCAGAGATCCTAAAGCATCGCCTGCTTAAACAAATATCCTTCGCAGCTGGCAAAGGCCAAGCCATGGCTTGCAATTGCAACACCTCCGGGCTCCAAACAGGGCGGGCATGCTCGTACCAGCTGCGCAGCCTAGAAACATGCAGCCAGCGTGAGAGCAGTAGTCAAAAACGATCTGTACCATTATTGAAGTAAGGTCCTGCAGCAACATATCTGCATCCATACATCTAAGATATCGCTCACTTATCTGTGCATCTGTTATATTGTTTTGTTTGCCCTGCCTGGTGCCAGCGCAATGCAAACATATCCAGGTACAACAGTGGGTTTTTGAATATTCATTGGTTCCATCCTAGGTATGTATAATGCCCTTTGGCATCTCCAAAGGGTTTCTTGCGACAGCCATGGCAAGCTCTGATGCCAGGCCGGGCGGACATGCCTTTGCTGCTGTGGTTTTGTTAGCAGGCCATGTCGCTTGCTGGAAAACTGTGAAAACCTCCTGAAAATTAGGCTGTCTCGCCAATCATGCTGCCCACCACAAGTCCAAACAACGATCAGTACACGAGAATTCGCTGGTGCAGCACGCTTACCCTCCAGGCGCACTCCCACCAGTTAGTCATGATCGGCTACGACCCACGGGTTTGTGTCAAAGGGGGACCACAAAAAGTCTGACCAACTCCTACCAAAAGGGTACCATGGGTACCCGAAAAAGACGAGCCGCCCACATGTCATCCCGATCCCTTGCAAAGGTCTCGGCTCACTTCAACACCGAGGGGTAGGCCGTGGTTCATGGACCTTGCATCAATAAAACCGTGGCTGAATGTAGAAACTAGCTAATAAGGTGCTTCGACTCGATTCGGCGTCCTCTACACACAGACCAGCAGCTTACGACGGAGTAGTTATCTGTTATATGTCAATATGGCATTGCGAAAAAAGAAAGAAAAAGGAGCACACAAGTCTGCCACTTGAGCAACCAGCGTGCGACAGCCGTTTTGGTCTCCAAACCTTGCCAAATATACATCAAGCAATGAGGCGGCCGTTCGTCTGCTGCATCAGTATATCCAACAGCCACCGAAGAAAACTACGTCTGGTGACCCCGAACCACTTGGACATCAAAGTGGAAGCACAAACAGCGACAAGGATCAAACACACAATTGCTGTTGCAGCAACATTCCACAACCGTTCCCTGACAAAGTCAAAGGAATGCATGCGGAGCTGATGTGGCCCGAACAACGGCAACGTGAAGCATCCTCCCCGAATGAACCGCAAATAGATCTCAGACATTTGGCTGTGGCTCAACAAACCGGAATTCCAAATGGAACCCTGGCAAGTGGAAACAAAGGCCAAAACCTGCGTAACCCCTCCTGCTTAATTTTGAGCCACATCCATTTTGCGCGTAAACCTCAACCAAGGAGAAACAATAAACACTGCATGCTGTGTGCCCTGAGCCGCCAAGCTCAGCCTCGCTTTTGACCCATCGCACTCTGTCTGAGCATAACCTGTCATCTGGCTTTGATTCAAGAATAGCTTTGATTCAACGCGAAATCAAAAACAGTGTCGGATCCTGCTACTGATAATTGACACTGGACTGCCCTCAGATCCCCCGCTGAAAGTTTAACTTTTAGCGGTTCAAACGGAAACTACCACTAAACAACGAAAAGGGTAAAAAGCTAAGGGGATGCACCAAGTTCAAGAATAGCTTTGATTCAGCACGAAACTAATCACGGAGTCGGATCCTCCTAGTGAAAATTGGGATTTCAAGGGTGCCCGGGTGAGGCGTCTCAAAGGCCAGTTGACATTTGGGTCCGGAACTCTTTCTGAGCATCACCTGCGAGTTGCAGATGGGTTCTGCCGCGGACAAGACCTCCACAAGAGCGGAGAAAGCTCTATCACATGATCTTGAAGCCAGTAAGGACGGCATTCTAGGCTGTATTCGAGCTTGATTCACTGCCATCCAAGGCATGGTCACTGGCACGGCCATTTCATGTCAACCAAAATTTGGGCTGGATTGCAATTTGAAGACACCAACATGGCACTGACATGTTCAATCATGTGGCTGCTTTGCTAGGGGTCAATCGCTGTCACTTGGACGTCCTCGGATTTAGCAGCAGCCACCCTTCTTGAGAAGAAGCATAATTAAACACCACCTGTAGCTAAACAAGCATCTGGTGCCATTGACATGTTGATTGATAGCTCAGGTCACCTGAATGCTGTCTAGATGCCTATATGACCAGCCCTTCGCATCAAATGCACCAACCCCTAGGTCAATAATTAGCGTAGAGCAAACTGACAAGAATATCTTTGAGTATCTCTTCCGCTCTTGTGACAGGTCCCGAGTTAAAGGAAAAACACCAGAAGTCAGAAGCACGCCACTCACGGCTTACGGTTCATGTGGCACTCGGATTCCAACGCATAGCCCTGGCAAGGCAAGCGGATTCGCACATTGGCTTGATCCTTGCTGCATGCTTAGCTTGGGGCCCTGCTGGCTCTACATGCCAGCAGTTGAGACTCACGCAGCTATGGGAAAATACCCCTTGGCAATAAAGTGGCCTGGGCACATTCACAGACACGGCATACAGGAGGACTGTTCAACAGAAACATTTGGGTGTGGCTCAAAACTTAAGAGCTAGGGTCACGCAGGTTTTAGTCTTTGGTTCCATTTACCTAAGGTGCCATTTTAGTACATGTTTCTGAGCCACAGCCATTTGGCCCAATCGGGACTGCCTACCAACAAACCAGCAACAAACTGGCTTTGCTTCCCGCCTCTATGTCCAACCTGCCCCTTTTGGGCGGCCCTTACGGGGGATTGCGACCTCATCATAAGCTTCAGTGCTTTCTCCTTTCGGGACAACGCTCACGATAATTCGGCGGTTTTGAAAAAAAAAAACGACATCATGTTCTCCCAACATGGCATGTGGAGGGTACCTGAAATTTGTTTTATCACTTTCCCATCTTTCCCTTAGGGGCAAAGTGTCTAGTGCCATGGGGAGGGAGGGTTTTCATCTTGTGGCTTCCTCGCGGATCCAAGCTTTCAGCTCGAGGCAAGCGAGAACAGGTCCCCTCGCACATGGGAGAGCCCGCAGAAACCCTGGGCTTGCTACCGATATACCAATTTGTGTATAACCCGACATAAAGCATCCCGTTCCCATGGTCGCCCCGGGGGACTGTTGCAGGCATTTGCAGGCTAGCCCAAGAAGTGGCTTGTTCAAGACCACATGGCTGCCCAGACTGCCAACTGCAGATCGTGCTATTCAGCATGCTGCCCTTGCAGCCTACAACTGCAACAAGCACGAAGCTTAAAAAATGTTTCTTTCTTCCTGAGGGATACAAGCATCCTTTTCCATCCCCATGCCCAGTGTCTCATCCGCCATCTGCAATCTTCTGGACTGCCCACCCCAGCAACCGGTTGTTTAATACTTTGTGTTTCCCTCTGGTTGCCCTTCAAATGCTATCCGCAAGGCGGCCAATAAGGTATCTACCACCCCAGTAGTGCGGCGAGCGACCCGGTCGGGCCTGCGACTCTCAAACTAACACGCGCCCAGCGCCAGGAAGAGAGGACCAGCAGCAGGTCCGCCCAAGGCGATTGCTTGGAACATGACGCTGGGCAATGTGAGGATGCCTCAAGGGCATAGCCAAGAACCGCACGTTCTGTTTCCGCACACCCACCTTAAAGGGGAGGGTCAGAAGCAATTTACTCGACATGGATGCACCTGAAACCATCTGGCGCTCTAGACCACAAACATGGATCCAAATCAAACAGGTTGCAAGCGTTGCAATCCGAATCCAAGCAGCTAGTGAATGATCAAAACAACTGTTAGCAAAACGGAATCTGCCAAGCACATGATGTTTAGAGGATTCCACGGATTCCAAGCGCCACATCTGTTGGACTCAGCAAACGCGCCTGCCCTCTACCCACTAGGTACAAATGAGCTTGTTCGACAGCCACCAATATCGATTTGTCAAACCTCGGAGGTGTCATTGCATCCGACCTTGGCTTGCTTTTTCTGGTGTCTTAGTATGTGCTGTCGAGCAAACCACGCATCTCAAAAAGATGCTGTAGAGGCCGTAGCTTGACCAAAACAAACCAAGCAGAGATTGAATGGAAGGGGTCTAATCAATGTTGGCAGGGGAACACTTCACAACCCTTGCTATGGTCGCATTGTTTCTTTCTTTTACAACCCCCTACTAATGAACAGAACCCCCCCCCCGGCAAAAAAAAATGACCCAAGAACCGTGAAGAACACCTGCAACTTGTCTTCCATTTGCTTAAGCCCCCTGGAAACAAACAAAAAAATCCAGTAGTGAGCTCCATTCCCTTTAAGACCAGCCAAGCGAAAACCACAACGGGGAAAAAAACAAAACAAAAAATCAGCCAATGGATGTTCTTCTTCCAGCTCCTGAGGCCTCCATCCGCCCCTCCGCCCCTCGGAGACTCGACTCGCACGCCTCCGAGGTTGAAGATGCTCTCCAGCCAACTGGCGAGCGGCGGGGGCTTCTTGTCCGGCGCCAGGAGGCTCAGGGTGATCTCGCTACCTGCGCCAGGAGGCTCCGCACCGCGCACGCGCGAAAAAGCGGGCAGCTCCATGGCCAGGAGCCGCAAGGGGTGAAGCCTACGTGATACATGGCCAAAGTGAAAGGGGCAAACGGGCAGTGGGTGGGACGCAACTTGTCAAACGATTCATTCGGAGCTATAAGAGGCAGCGGCTTGAAGGAGGACCCTGTCTTGCACGGCGCGTTCGCCGGCGACGGCGCATGAAATGCGTTGAAAAGGGGGAAGCAATTATTGGATAAACAAGCAGACCGGTCGCTGGATTCTTCATTTTTGTTTCTCCAGCCTCTGGATTTGTTGTTGTTGTTGGGTTTACAATTGAAAACAGTCAGTGAAATCGCGGCGAGAGAGAATGCAACACAAAGGCTGAGAGCAAAGCTTCTTGTACCGAGCAGCCTGAACTTCGAAAAAGGGCGTGTGGACAGCAGTGATCAAGCACAATTGTTGAGTTGTGTAGCAGCATTATTTTGAGCAGTGCGGCCTTTATTGCGAAGGTGGCTCAGTATTTCGTTCATTTGTTTGCAAAAAAATCACAGGCAAACAACCTACATCAGAATGAGCTCGTGAGCTCGTCTTACCTTCAGGTGACCTGCCCTAAACAAATAGGCTGATTTCTGTGAGTCTAGTGATGGCATCAGTTCAACATGAGTTTAGCGGTGGGCTAGCATTGCTGATTTGTAGCGTGGAGTGAAACAAGTCAAACAAAACACCAAACAAAGTAACACTCGTCTTTCTTCTGGCAGGTGTATGTTTCCCAGCAAAGCCAACAGAAGGAAGAAGCACCACACATGGAGCCAAATGACAAATCAACATCTAAATCAGCAAGACGTAACACGTGTTTTACTTCTGGCAGTTGTAAGTTGTTGTGTTCCTTAAGTGAAAGTGAACAGGTAAAACCGTTTGAATCAATCACAAAAAATGATCTATGAATAGTGACACGTAAACCAGTTTCACGTGTTTACCCTTGTTCAGCACAAGTAACAAGTGTTTGTGTTGTTTGAAGTCAGGCTCTTTTACTGCACATGTTTCAGGGGTTCCAAGTAGTTGCTTGTTTTTGTGTATTTGTGGTTACTGTTCTTTACGGTTCCTGGAAAACAGTGACCAAAAAAAACAGGATAAAACACAAAAACATATGCCTTTTACTTCTTGCGTTGAAAATGATTACCAAAGAACAATTGAGACAGTAAAACTGTCATTGCGTATTGATGTTTTACTGGTTTGCTGCTCATACGTCCAGATTGATACCTGTTCTAATCTTCCTCAAGGACATAAAAAGGCACACCTGCCAAAAGAAAGATTCGTTTTACTGGTTGCAGGGCTGTTGGCTCCTTTCACACTTTAATGGATTTCGAGACGGAAAGCTAGGTGTGAGGGGTCCCAAAGAAATAGATGTCTATATATAGTATTGTTGCATATGTGCATGCTTGATTGCTTAACCGTGTATTTGTTGAGTGCTCCTGGCGTGATGCAATGATGCTGCTGATGGCGACACACTGCAAAATGGCCCGACCGCATTCCAGCCGGCCGGCCCAACCGGGTTGCGAATGGCAACATAACTTTGGTCAACCTGTATCATGAATTGCTTCAGGTGAGAGAATCAAGCTAATTGCATGCTAGGAACACATCGGAACGCAGAAGCTATTTAGGTGACACTTGATGGGCCTCCCATCGATCGCATGGAACTGGAAGCCACTTCTCTCTACTAACAACAGCGTGACTCGTGCGGTGCAAACAAATCGTCAGCATTGAAAGAGAACCAAACAAAAGGGATATGAAGGGGATCTACACTCCTTCAGACGAACGTTTCCCAGAAGGCCTCTGTAAATGGAACCAAATCTTCCAAAGGGGTCCTGGGAGCTTCCATGGAATCGCCTGGGGCTTGCATGGAGCTTTTTCATGCTTTTTCCCACTGGACTCCGGTCCCAGGCGCCCACGTGGTTTCGCAAGAAAAGGCTGCAGGCGAACACATCGAAGTGGCCCACCCAGTCGTTGACGCCAAGCCTCTGCAGAATGACGTATCCCCAAAAAAGACAAGCAACAACTCACTTGGCCAGTGACCAGCCAAAAAAAAGTGCACACTTTTTGGGCCACCACTAAAATAACTGGAGAGCCAGCAAGGAAAAAAGTGCAAAGTGCGCCCACTGGCTGGGTGAGACACTCTGATGCTGCGATGCCTGCGCAAACTACAACAAACAGCGGTATGTTGACGGTTGACCACCCCAATCTGCAAAACACCAACTAGGGCAGAGTTGTTGACAGTCGGCCACAAAAGTCTAAAAGGTTCACTTATATTTATGCTTGTCACGGATCAAGTAGCTGCTGTGCCAATGGTCTCGCTCCGTCCCACTGCATGTTTAGACTGGCCCGTGTGTTTGCGTGCTGCTACGCGGGAGTGAGTGGTTGCAGGAAGGTCGTGAAGCTCGAAACTTCCTTCGCAGGAATGTTCGCATGTTGCACCATGACAACCTTAACCTCACATCGCCAAAGGGAATAGATAGCCTGACCCAGAACTGAAGCAACAAAACGCTCTGGAGGACTGCGTTTAGCATGTTGGATCACATTGAGCCAACTCAACAAACATTGCTGTTCAATACAGGCCTCCGAATCGACTCAAGTTCAGCCAACAAGTCATCGAAATCGGCCATCCGCGCCCTATGTCTAAACAGGCTTTACCACCTATCCTTCAATAAAGATTCCGGACTGCAGGCAATGCCTCCATTTGGCTAAGACCCCGGAGAAAAAATAATAAAAAAAATCCAGTACTGATAGATTCCCTTCAAAGACCAACAGGGGAAAATCAACAATATTCATTTCAGCAAATGGAAGAATGTGGTGCTCTGCTGGCAGCCAGCTGACAAGGCCCGCCCTGTTTTGACCCCCTGGTCTCTCGTAGGCACCCGGCCCCTTCTGCTCGTTCCAAGCGCAAACTTGATCGTCGTCGAGGTTCCTTGCGTGGGACAGGCGGCCCTAATCGGCTGTGGGTCAAAAATAGGTACCCCAAATGGAACCCTGGTAAATGGGAACATGGACTACAATCTGCTGTCCAATTCCTGGTGGTTTAATATTCACCCACACCCAATCCTTGGAATGTAGCTCAAGCCTAGCAACAAGTCGGTCTTGAAGCAGGCAGGAAGCTCTCAAAGTACAACATTAGTTTATCCTGTGTCCCACTCAATAGTTGCCAAAGCGCTGGGACACAAAGCAGCAAATGCAACTGCTTTCGCATTTGGCTAAATGTAGCACATCAAGCCCAAGGCTTCATCCCAGGTCAGGCGGGCGTGCGTCTATCTCAAGAGATCACAACGGGTGGGGAAGCTTTTCCATTGCAAGTGTTTGCCGCTTTGACGGGGCTGTTTCATCAAAGTCACGCAAGCTTGGACACTGCCCCTGGGAAATGCTGAGCAAACATAGGCTGAACGGGAATCAGGCCAAGCTTCCACTGACCTTCAATGTGCACCACGTCTCCCGTCGCCTTGCCACACAGCATACGCTTCAACATGATGCGACCCCGGTATTTGGACAGCCCGATTCATGAACAGGGGTTGGCAGGGATGGGAGTTGTCGTGTGCCTTGGAGCGCATTCCTTTATGAGGCAAAGTTTCCATCACCTGGTCGTAATGCTCCCAGGAACACGTCTTGCAAAACACAGCTATCATGTAGGATATTGCCTTCGCACATTATTTTGACACTGTGTGCACACGCGTGGATGTGTGTGTATGTGTGGGTGCGTGGGTGCGTGGGTGCGTGGGTGCGTGCGTGGGTTCGTGCGTGCGTGCGTGCGTGCGGCCGGCCGGCCGGTCGGGCGTGGGTGGGTGGGTGGGTGGGTTGAGTGGGTGGTTGGGTGGGTGGGTGGGTGGGTGGGTGGGTGGGTGGGTGGGTGCGTGCGTGCGTGCGTGCGTGCGTGGGTGCGTGGGTGCGTGGGTGCGTGGGTGCGTGGGTGCGTGGGTGCGTGGGTGCGTGCGTGCGTGGGTGGGTGGGTGGCGTGGGTGCGTGGGTGCGTGGGTGCGTGGGTGCGTGGGTGCGTGGGTGTGTGGGTGTGTGGGTGTGTGGGTGTGTGGGTGTGTGGGTGTGTGGGTGTGTGTGTGGGTGTGTGGGTGTGTGGGTGTGTGGGTGTGTGGGTGTGTGGGTGTGTGGGTGTGTGGGTGTGTGGGTGTGTGTGGGTGTGTGTGGGTGTGTGGGTGTGTGTGTGTGTGTGTGTGTGTGTGTGTGTGTGTGTGTGTGTTTGCGACTGCGCAACTTCGTGTAAGCTGCAGTGCTGCCAGGAAGCTTCTTCGCCGCAATCTTCGACTGTTTGCAAGATTGATTTCAGCTCCTCAGCTGCACACACACACACTCAACGAGGGATAACCCATGCACGTGATGCATTCTAGAATGGGCTTCATGGCCCCTCATGGAGGCCGAACTCAGTCATGTACTTTTGGACAGCTAGTTAGTCTCACTTCTTGAGTGGACTGGCCCAAACAAGTCTAAACTTTTTGTTTGCCACTAAAATGGTCCTCCCAAAAAGTATCCAACAAATCCATGACCGTAGTTTGCAGAGGCCAGGCCTCCTGCTTCGATCAAATTTCAACGCTGTTCGCAAGCAAAGATCTTGAGTGGCTGGCCAAGCTCGCCACGTCCGCAAACTCGTGATCGAGGCAAAACAGATGGTACCAGCCTGCATATACCAAGCCGGAATCCCAACCAACCAACCAACCAACCAACCAACCAACCAGCCAACCAGCCAACCAATCAGCCAACCAACCAACCAACCACCTGATGAGAGCCCCAGGCCCCAGCTAGTTGGGGCCGGCCGAGGAGCAATGTCCACAGTGCCGTCCCCAAAGGCGATGCGGCCACTGTACTGCGCCGAGATGATGCCGCAGGTGGTCATAGACCCAGAGACGGCCACCTGAAGATTTTGAGCGCCCAAGCGGCCGAATCCCAAACCCTCCAAAAGCTCCATATTCAGATCGTGCTTCGTGCGCTCGCCGGCGTGCGCCGGGGCATGCGTGCGTGAGTGAGTGAGTGAGTGAGTGAGTGAGTGTTTGTGTGTGTGCTCTGCGTGTGTGCTCTGTGTGTGTTTGTGTGGGTGTTCGTCTCTGTGGGTGTGCGTGTCTATATGGGTACAGGCTTTGTGTGTGCGTGTGTTTTGGAGTGTGTGGGTGTCTGTTTCATGGATGTCCCGTTGGGTGTCCGTTTGTGCTCGCATTTCTGTGGCTCTCCGACTCTCTGCCGATTTCTGGCTTTGGCTGGCAACGGCCATGTGCCTGAAAAATACCCACAAATGGCTTGGCCCAGCGGCACTTGGGCAGCTCAACCAATTTCCCACGCCCAGCATCTAATTAAGCCCAATTTCCTCAAGCTGCAAGGCTACTTTACGGCTGCGACATGTGACAATGGAACATGCCTGGTTCCCAAAAAATGCATTCAAGCTGCATAGGTAAAGCAAACACTTTGAAAGAGAAATTCGTATGATAGAGGGACCGGCCGCAATACATCATTCGAGGTTCTGCCTGCCCAGTGTGCATCAACACATGGATGCGGGATCATGGTGCTCTTAAGGCAATTCTGCTCCTGCGTCCCCAGTTCCATCAAGGTGGCACAAAACAAAATTCAATCGAACATCGGAACAGGAATAATAAACTCCGAGGTCGCCAACTCTCCCACACCCTACACCCCACACCCTACACCCCACACCCTACACCCCACACCCCCACAACCCCACACCCCCACAACCCCACACCTCCACAATTGCCTTGCGTCTCTCATACCTATACTATTTGTACCATATTAATGGCATAGCAGTGGCCTAAAGGTTCGTTCTATGAATCTGGAAACCACGCGATTTGATTGACGTTGAGTCTGCGGGGGAGATTCCCACCCACGAGAAGTGGAAACTAATCAGATGGACGTTTGCTCCAGCCTGGCGAGAGATCCTCTCCATGCACCCTGGGCAAGCGCAGAAGTAAATGCATTTTGGCCATGAAACTCGGCGACTTTCTGCTCTCCTGTTAAAAGCTTAACTTTTAGTGGTTTAATACGGAAGACCCATTAGTTCGCAAAAAGTGTTCCAGTCCAAACATCCTTTAGCAAAATGCAACAAAGAAAACTTGTTTCTCTCAGTTGGGGCTGATGGCTGTCAGCTTGGGCCGGCCATTCAGGGCGTTCAGGGTGCACTGATGTCCTTTGCGGGTCATCTTTGTGGCGGCTTCCTTCCATATGGCGGTCCCTGGTAAATGAACCAAGGACTAAAACCTGTGGTCCCCTGGTGGTTTACATACCCCGTTTACATACCCCTTGAAAAATGAAACCAAAGGCCTGCTGACGGTCATGCCCCTCTCCCCAATAGGGGTATATGCCCCTTATAAAGTGGGTTGGAAACCAGGAAGCCAAGGGGTATGTACAAGGGGTATGTACTTCCACCCTTGGAATATTGATTTTGTCGCGCATGTTGAGGTCCATTTGCTACCAGTGAGGACTGTCTGAGGGCGGTTTGCCCCGCATCGACGGGCGGGTTCTTCGTCATCCCAGCTATCACTATTTCCAATGCCTAAAAGTTTGAACATTTGATTTGGACCAAAACACTTCCCACAACAAGGCGCCTGGGCAAGTCGTTGCTATGTAGGGCCCTGGTCAAAAAACCATGCGCCCGGCCATGGTTGCTGTCAAACAACCCACCCGTACCAAAAGGAGTATCAAAAGGAGAGCTTTCAAGCGTCGCGTCCCGCCCTTTTGACTTGAGCCGTTGTGGTCGTCATGTGCGCCAGCCATGTCCTGCAAACCAAATCCCCTGATGGAAATGAGGTCCCCCCCCGCCCGATCTGCACATTGCACACTTTCCATGGGCTATGTCACCTGTGAAATACTGCAACCATTTGGAATCAGGTACATCTCATTCGTCATTCGTTGACCTACCTGTTCTCCGATGTCTTCTCCATGTTTCCACATTTCCAAGCGCCTTGGCCTGCCGTTTCTCCGATTGGCTGTGGGTCAAAACTCTGTACCCCGGGTGAACATAAAAATAGGTGGTACATGGGTGTTCATCCACCCCAAAATGGAGCCATAGGTTCTGACCCATGGCCAATTGGTTTAGAGCCCCCACCTTTCCACGACCTTTCCGGAGAGAGCGTTCCCCCATTCTAAGACACATCTCCGAATCAGGGCGTGCCAATACTTTTATTTGAGGAAAAGACCCCCCAAAAATGGTTGCTTGCTTGTCTTTTTATTTTTCTTCCTTTTTTCTTTTCTCGGTTTTGTTTGGTGGTGTTTTGGTTTGGGACCCCCTCCTTACCCCTTAAAACTCCATGCCCTGGGGAAGTTCTCATCTTTTACAGACAAATTTTGCCCATGTTGCCCCCAAAAAGTGGAGAAAAGTGGTGTTTCTAAGAGGTAAGGCCTCAATTGTTTTGGTGGTTTTTTGGTTTGGAACACCCTCAAACACCCGCCCAAAAAGGGGAAAAAGGACGGCCCTCCCCGCGGGTCGAAACCGGCGGAGGCCGAGGCGCGGCAGAGCCGCAGCGCCGAGTGCCCGCCGCTCAGGCGGCCGTTGAGCGCTTCGACCACGAGGTGATGCTTCCTGCGGATGACTCGGATGGCACTCGGCGTCCACCCAAAAGCCACCAAAAACCCTGGGGAAACCGCCGAAAACCCTGGGGAAATTGGGCGATCGGTTTTTGATAAAAGAAGGATGGCTGAAAGGAATCGTCCTTTTAGGGCAAACAGATGGGTTTTGCTGGTAGACGAGAGAAAGCCCCCCAGGAAAACCAAGAATTGCCCTCTATTTTCCGTCCAAAACAACCAAAAAAGACATCTATGCTCAGAACCTTTTGCTTCTTGGAGAACACATTCTCACTTGCCAAAGGACCCAGAAATAAAAGGTGATCTGCTTTTGGCACCTCCACTAAAAACGGACCAAAACACCCAAACGTGAAATGCAAAAGGTCAAAAGTCGGGCTTGGGCAACTGAGCATTAGTGTCCCCATATGAATCAACCGCGGTTTATTGTTTTGGGGGGTGTCCGATTCTGGTTTTAGTGGGGGCTCATCACTATGACCGGGACCTGGAAGACACCTGCTGGTTGGCTGCTTGGTCGCTTGGTCGCTTGGTTGGTCGCTTGGTTGGTTGGTTGGTTGGTGAATTGCCCGTGGATTTTTGCGCATGGCTGGTTTCTCAAGATGTCTTTCAACTGCGACCCCGGGCCAACATGAAAGAGCAGAAAACCTCTGCGGGTATCTCAAACTCAAGGTTTGAAGGTGCATATGATGCCCCCTGAAGGGTTCTTTTGCAGCCAAGTCATGGCAGCCTGGCGGCACAACAGTTGCTCCAAATCAAGAGCCATTAGAGATCATTAAAGCTCTCCACACAAGGTGTTCGAGGAAATCAGTTTTGCCAAAAGGAGGAGCTCTCCAACGCGGTGCATGGCCATGGGTCAAAATCCAAACCGTACCCCCAGTGAACATCCCAATCCCCACACTAAAATAGGTTCTAAAACGGGTGGCGAATTCACCTACCCCAAAATGGGATTCCATCGGTTTTGACAACCACGGCCACATATCATTGGTCCAAAATGGCCGAGACTACGGAGCCAGTGAGCATCAACAAGGCTGATAAATGAAGTACGCCAGGGCACTCCAGGGGCAAACCGTGCACAATCCTCGGCCGAAAGCGTTGGGCAAGGTTGGACAGGACTTGTTTGGGAATTCCCCCTTCATGAGGCCTGAGGAGGGGGGAGGGAGCTCAAATTAGCTCTTTATGGCAACGCTTTTTCCCCACATTCTGTGCATCTTAGCAAAACATGCGCAACGCAACGCGCGCCCCGAAATCTTCCCCCTTGCCTTCTGTTTACGGCCCCGTCCCTTTGTCATTTTGTTCCGGGACTTCTGTGCTTTTTGGCATAGTACTCTGTTGAAGCCAATTGTCACAGGGCCATGTAAGTCCAGTTGCTCTTCGCCAATGGTACATCCAATTGGACGCCACCACATCGGAACCCTTACGTGTTGGCCAAAGCGTTCAACTTGAATGAGCAATGGAATGCCGAGAATTCGCCCGCGGGAACCGGTACTCCTCCATACTGATTCAGGACACAACCGGGAAGCTACAACACATGCCCACAAACTCCAAATTAAATACGTTGGACCACTGTATGGTAGTCTGCCAAGTGCAGTGGGACGGAGCACATACCCTAGGCATAACTAGGCACAAATGAAGCCCCAAGCAAATCGACCCAATATAAGGTGTGAAGCTTCGAATGGTAGTACTGTGGGCAGTGGATGGGCAAGATCCTGCACCACTTTGAAACCTAGCGAAACCATGGTTTCTTGGCATTTACAGGGGGCTCATATCATTCCATGGTTTCTGTACCGTGCAAAATGGATTTCGCCACCATCCACAGTATCAAGCCCCAAGATTGGGTCGCGTTTCTGTGAGCCGCTGGGCACGTAGGGGGTGAAACAAAAAATGAGCTCAGGTGATATCCCCAACAGCATGCGGCGCTCTTTTTAGTGCTCGCACCAAACCGCAGCCTCGCAGAACCTCGTGGAACCCTGGTGAAACCCTGGTGGAAATCTTGTGGAACCTTGCCTCAGGGCCGCCCCGGACCACCCCGGAGCCTATCTGGGCTGAGACCCCAAAGCTTTCAGGGCAAAAAACGCAGAGGGCCAAACACGGGGCCACCAAAAGCTTCGGGCATGTGTGGGTTAAACAAACCCCCCAAAAAACAAGCGCCTGGGCAAACGAAGGGAGTTGAAAAAAAGGAAGAAAAAGGAGAAGCGTTCGCCGCGGGGCCAGCGCAAGATCTCCAGTTCCGCGAGCTTGTACACGGCCTTGGAGACCAGGGCCAGTTGCAAGCGCTGGCGCTCCTCCAGCAGCATGAAGACCCTCGTGGAGAGCCATTCCTTAGCGAGTGAAGCACGGTGAGTGAGTGAGCTGCAGCTGAACCGATCTTTTCCCTCGAGGTCACAAAAGGTGGAGCCTTGCTGTGTGCAAAGAGCTGGCTAAAGGTGGTGGCAACAGCGCAGCAGCAGCAGCGGCAGCAGCAGCAGCAGCAGCAGCAGCAGCAGCAGCAACAGCAATGGAAATACTATGAAATACTAATGAGAAGAACGGGTGTCCAACAATGTTGGCAATTCAACCGGCAACACTGGAGGCAGCAACAGCGACGACCAAAAAGAACCTTGGAGTTCCCCAACGACTACCCGGACATTCAAGCAAGTTGAGGGATGCGCCACTTGGGTTGTCTTTTGCGGCCACCTCTCTCTCTCTCTCTCTCTCTCTATCTAAACCGATCTTCACCAGCCCTTGGCAAGGGCGGATCATTTTTTTTGCGGCCCGTACTCGGCTCTTTTCATTCAGCACATCCTTCACTTCAATACTGACCTGGCGAGCAGCGGGGTTTAACTAAGAAGCCTCCTCCCATGTAAGAGTCTGCACAGAATAAGTGCTTCCACAGAGAAAGAGTTCATGACATGTTCTGCGTTTGGGAGTCTAAAGGTGTTCCAGTTCGATCGACATGCAGGATGCAACTGGTATAATGCTAATCCATGTAGTATGTTGGTCGGCTGGGCCTGGCCGGTTTGGGTCGCTTGCTCAGCAAGTATGCGACCCAAGCGGCTGGTGATGTCCCCATGGCGACTTGAAGCCGAGGCGACTCGTACTTGCTTAAAAGGGTGCCTGTCTCACTTGCAACTGGTCTGCCATCTAAAATGCCCAAGAGGCCATTCTCCAGCTCTTGCTAGGCATCACACTCTGCCCCCAGATAAGCTCCAAAGAGCTTGGCCAAGTACAGGACTTCTACTATCTGGCACCCTTTTCAGCGAAGCACTCGCTCGGCTCCCTACGGCTTTCAGCCTTGCCGCACCAAAACTCGGTTCGGTTCGGTGGATCGTGGCTGCGGCAGGAAGTCCAAAGCTTACCTGAAGAATCCATACATGGAACGGCATCACATCCAACTGCAGGGGGACAAAACACAAGCAAGACATGTCAGGAACAACTGTCCTTGCACCTATGCAAATCCTGCCAACATGGCACGCGCCTTGCTGGTTGAATAGTTCTTACTAACAACACATGTAAGCCCTACACATGGAGGCAGATGGCCAACTTGTTGAGTTCCGTGCCTTCAGTGGGCACAGCAAACCCAGACAAAAGTCCCAAAAATAATTGGAAGGTCCTGGTCGTTACCGGCGCAGGAGGAACCTTGGTTGCTATTGACCCCTCTGCGTTAAACGTTTCTCTTCTGGTGGATATGGCAAATCCGAGCTGTTGCCCCCAAAAGCCCAAGTTGATCCAGGCAGCCAAGAAACTGGCCACTTCCACATGAGATTTTCCACCTCTTTGGGCTGCAAAGGTTCCAAAACCTTGAAGTCGCGGACAAACATCTCGCGGAAAGCCAACCAGTCGGGTGGCTTTCCCCTTCCAGAAAACAACCAAAAACGGACGAACAGCTGGTTGTTGAAAAGAACCATGGTTGAAAAGGATGGGAATCAACCCCAACCAGCCACCCCAATGGCAGTTGCCAAGTCAAGCGACAAGGCCAGCCACTCGCTCGAAACAACTGGGCTTCCGGCAGATCCTCCTCAGCCGATAGCTGAGAGAGCATGGACGCGAAGGGCCTCGCGAGGAACATGCCAGTCACCACTGACACGTGGAAGTTCCGTGTCCCGCATGCGGGTGAGGTGTCTCAAGAAAGCCACTTCCAACCGTTTCAACATGCAAAGAACATATCATGTACAACGAGGCTCAAAGATACGGACGCGGTGGCAAACAGATTCGAACACCAAGACTAGCTACACTAAAAAGGAGCTGCCCGAGACGACTGAATCAGGGAAAGCTGGGCCAAATATCATGTCATGGATGGCATCGCACAAAGACAGGCATGTCCTTTGTCACATGCAACCAGCCCAACGACAAAGGCACGTGAATCTGGCCTAGCAACGTGGGGAATCTGCGGCCATCTCTTTGTTTCGAGTCCGTGCCAATCCGCATGCTGATCGGGTTTCCACGCTTCAGTTCCCCTTGACCCCCCCGGCAGCTGCCGAAAAAACGGCAAAGCCATCTGCAGAACTCCGCGGAAGGGCAAATCCCAGGCATATTGATGCCAGTACATTGCTCGCAGTGCTTGTTTGAAGGTACCTTCAATCGAATGTGTTTGGATGTGTCCTTAACTCGTTCGGATGTTATGAAGCCCCTCAGTTGCGGTTGGGACCTCAGTAATGCGGCGAAGGTGTCCTTGCCCTGACATGACCTTGGAGTCGCGTGTGGCCGTCTTATTAAGCCAAGGTTGCAAGGATGGCTTTCGTTGGCCTTGCATGGTCCTTAGTTTCAATCGCAGTGGCATGTTGTACTCGAAAGCAAACAACTCCAACATGCTTAGAATGGGAGGACTACTTCCCAGGCACAAGTCTTCTGCGCTCCAAAACAAGAACAAGACCTTCACAACAGGAGGGTGGAACCATCATACCGGCATAAACATGACTGCAGCCTCCCAAAAATATATTTCCTGAAACAAATCCAAGCTGGCTACCCTAGGCCCCTGCATCAGATTGACAGCCTGGGCTGAAAGCCTCCACGTCGTGAAGTGTCTGCACTGGCATTTTCTGAACCACGGCTCTCAGCATCTTCAAGTGCATCTACCGAAGGGATAAGAGATATGGGGATCGGGCAAGAGGCGACGCTGGTGATGCTTGGGCACAACACACTGATGAAACTGTCAGCAACTGACGAAACGCGGCTCTTCCCAGCTCTACGGTTTGGTGTGTTTATTGATGCCAAAGCTACTGGAAGCCCACCGAATGTGTCCTTAGCCTGGCTGGTTGCCCATCGGCCCACCTTCCATTTGCGTGGCTAAGCCCAGTGGAAAAATGTGCAACAGTTGTGAAATGGATTCCCTTTAAAACCAACAGGGTAAACTAAAAACTCTTAAGCATAGGGAAGTAACTCCCAAGTAGATCTCAATGAGTGGAACCCTTCAGACCGAGGTCTTCACGCCTGGACATCCTCGAGTTGATCTGAGGCTACATGGAACTCTCATGCCTGAGATCCCCAAAGCCCTTGAATAATCCTGAGGACACGCTTGCAACCCTCATGGGCTTCCAAAACGCGCTGTTTTTGTTGCAACCCGCCCCCACTAAACATGAACATAATAATTAGCACGTTGCCTGCTGCAGCCTCCAAACAAAAATCAACCAAATCAAAACCTGGAGCCCTTGACAAATCTTAAGGACATAAAACCATAAAGTTGATCAGAATCTGCCAACAACCGTGAATTGAACACCTACTCGAAGCACTCTCGCGCCGACCTTGGCCAGATACAGCGGCCTTAGGCCAACTGCCTGTGCCCTACGCACACCTGAGCCACTTGCTCAAAACCTGGGTAGATGGCGGTGGGTCAAAACCAATGGTACCAGTTTGGGGGAGGTGTACCACCCATTTTAGTCTAGTTTAGTGGGGGTTGGGATGTTCACTGCGGAAACGGGATTTTGACCCATGGCCAGATGAAGGTTAGTAAGGGACAGTCCCCTTGCCAAGTGCCAAAGCCTCCTTTTCAACTCTATTTTTGCATGGCTGAAAGGAACCGCCACTTTAGTACCGATCGGTTTTGAGCACGACTCACTTGGGACGACCCTCATCTCCCAATGTCGAACAGTCTCCAGTCTCAACCTTCTCTTCACAATTAAATTAGTCGAAACCAACTGCCATAGCATGAGATTCTCCTCAGATGCCCAGTGGATTCTCAAAAAAAAAAGAAGGCATCTCTTTTTGGTTGGTTGACTTTAAAGGGGAACCCTTCCCAAAAAGAAGGAAAACAGGGCACCACTGGTCAACTGGGTCTCTACATTTGGCCATAGAACTGATATGGGGTTCATTTTACATCACAAAGCTGAGATTGAAGACTGGCCGGAAGACGTCCACGTCCAAGCCGGCGGGACGATGTCATTACCCACTACTGAACTTGCCAGCGACACATACTAGAAATCTGGCGCCGAGAGTCAGATACAACCGCATTTCGTAACAAGACTTGCATCTGGCTACACATGCCAGAAAATCCAATCGCTCAAGCTACACGCATTACCCAGCAAAGGGCAAGTGTGAATAATGTTCCTGGCAGGACGCGCACACACACACACACTCCTGCAGGCTGACCCTGAAAGGAACAGTGTTGAGCATGGCATTGTACAGGGTGCCGCGTATGTATAATTATATATACAGAGAAAGATAGATATCTGCGCCCTCTGCGGGACAAGTCAAACAAGTGTGTAAATAAAATACTTCAACGAATGCGAATCGAGATAGCAAAGCATCAGGAAGCTGTGCCCATCAACTATGCCACGGCACATGTTCAACCTATGCGAAGCTTTCGCATTCCAACTGCCGCCATGTTGTGCTTTATGCTAGCGGCCAATTCGTGAACCATGCGAGTAAAACTTCCACATGGCACGCTTTAAACAGAAACCGAACAGGCACATGGTTCTCAGGGGGTTGTATGTTGCGCGAGCAGGTAAAGCCTGCGGCAAATGGGAGGAGCACGCTACAAGCCGAACCCGAAGCACAAGCAAGCGAGCTGCCTACTCTACTCCACTCCGGTCATCGGTGGGGCCTGAATACTTCCATTTGCATGTTCGCCTCCTGGGAAAAAAAAAAAAACAAACAAACAAACAAACATTTCCAGTAGTGATAGTTTCCCTTTAAAACCAACAAGAGAAACTAACACATAGTTTTAAGCACATGAAATAAAAAGATACTGATTTTCCACAGGGGGCCATTGCCCCCTAAACGTTGCACCACATTCTACAGATCATTCCGACTCTCCGAGCAAAGGCGAACCAACCGAGTGGTTCGATTCAGAGGTTCCTTCAGCCGCTGCTGCGTGCCAGCGTGCCAACATGAAACCGGCTCCGAACAGCTCCTAGCTCCGAAAAATCGCGATTTGTTGGCACAAGGCGAGAAAAATGAAAAAAACATCACGACACAAATGAAGAGCCCTTAGGGCACGAAGGGAAAGAGATAGAAATCGTTTGACTGAAAGCATGCGGTTTTCCTCTGCGACGCTATGTGCTTCAAGTGCAGCCTTCGCTTCTTGCATGGGGCTCGTGCACAAATCAACATGAAACTCAGTTCTGGCAAACTAGACGAAGACCAGGCTGCCAAAAACAGAACCACCTCCGCATGTACAACAACATGCACGTGTTGATGTAAGTAGCATCGTGCATATTTTTGATTCATAGAGACATGTAATCCGCCAACAGCAATGGACGTCTTGCACGACGGAAGTGTTTTCCCTTTCAGCTACCGACGGAACCCAGTTCAACCAACCGCACGTGTTCATATAGATGCCCCTGGTCGATGATTCAATCACCAGGTAAACCAGGGCAATCTACTTTTCTACCAAAACAACCAAAAATGACACAAATGCTTAAGCTCCTGCGAATCAAAACTCATTCACAACGCCCTCCACATCCCTCGGCAAGCCTTTCCAGCTCGGCACGCTGCTAAGGACACTCAGATGCCCAGTGGCCAGCGGAAAACAAAGGGCATCTTTTTTTCGTTGGTCGACTTTAAAGGGGAAACCGTTCCAAAAGAAAGTTGAAACAAGCCAGCCGAAAAAAGGGGCACCCTTTTCTGATTGGCTAACTTTAAAGGAAAAACCGTCCCAAAAGAATGTGAAAAAAGGGCCGGGGGGAAAATAAAAAAGGGGCGGCGGAATCCACTGGGCAACTGACACAGAGATCGATCTCGCAAGCCGGGCAGCGGCATAGAAGCTCATGGCACAGCGCGGCCCGAAGCTCACAGCAACGCTGCCCAAAGATTCGCAGCCTTTCGGGAAAAGCGTCGCGCTGCAGTGGCACTGGTCGTGCGACAAAGCTCGGTACTGCGTCATAGTTGGGAAATGTTGGGAGTACACATGTTCCAAAGTTGCGTAGGAAGGTGCACCAGCTGAGACGTGCCTTTGCTTGATACATTCCTACGGATATAAATATAGATAGTTGCTTGACATCATTTGGGCGCGGAAGCAAACAGTCACATTCCATGGCCAGCTGAAATTGAATGATCCCAAAGCTGCAAAATGTGTTTGCTTGCATAAGCAGAAAAGGCAAGAATGATAGAAATAATACCACCGCTACCAAAAGCTAAGTCTCTATAAATATGTATGTATGACCGGCCTGAATCATCATCATTATCATCATAATCATCATGATCATCATCATCACCATCATCATCACCACCATGATCATCATCACCACCACCACCACCATCATCAACATCATTGTCCCATTGTTTTCCTTCACTCGCCCTAGTTACAAGCCTGGCTTAGGACTACGGGTTATCATCTCACCGTATTTAAGGCGGTGAAAGTAGTCGTGTCTTTGCTCTAGCACGGGCTTATCAAGTCAGCTTGGGTGAAGCACTTTCTTTTTTCCAAGCCCGAGCAGGTCCAGTTGTGCAGTTGCGCACAGGCGTTGCTTGGGAGCTCGGCTGGCCGTTTTGCGGACGGGGGAGGGTTGGGTGGGTCAAATGCTGGTCCACTGTTGCTGTTGGCTTGGTTTAGGCGTTGCTAGATTGCTTGTGAGATAATTTTGGGTGGACGTTCGTGCGGGGCGAGGGGTTGGAAAAGAGCCGCTCAGGTGGTTCCAGCCACTGCAACATACGAAAGCTCAAAAACAAAGTGATCCTACGCAAGCTCTCTCATCCAAAGCAAAATGCAGCTTCCGGGCAAACAAGCTGTGTTTGCAACGCATGTCTAAGCAATGCATCCAGTGACAAAGCTCCCATAACCCTATAGCTCCCAGAGGGAAACACCAATGTGACATAGGCGACGACTGCGGGCAATGGTCAACGCATGCTGCAGCCGCTCTCATCTGCTGTGCCTAACTGCTCCTGGCTTGCGAAATGGCCAAACGCCCCGGCCGGGGCTTGAATCTAAGAGGCCAGCCCCGATGCAAGGATGTACCAGGGTGGCCGCACTAAGCGGCACTCAGGTTCCGCTTAGTCGCAATCGAAAGGTCGACTGCAACACCCAGGTGGAGCTGTCGAGCAAAGAAAATTGCATACACGACCATCGCGCGGATGACTTGGTCCATTTGCACGACTTACAAGCCATCACAAGCCTGGAACCCAACAAAAGTGTCATTAGCTCTCTTGCCCTTCCCGACAGCCACCACCGGGGCAGGGATTCTTAGAAACTGAGTGCCGAAAAGGGCCGCTGCAGCGCACAGGGGTCAGAGGCGCCAACCTTTGAAACATGTGCCCTGAGATTGGGAAGTCCAGACAGTCTGACCCTACGAATCCATCAAACTCGCAAACTCTGACCCTACGAATCCATCCAAATCGCTCGCAAACGACGACTGAACCCATGCGCGCCGCAAAGCTAGTCTTCAGCTCGGAACGCCCGATGCCCAGGGCAATGGAAGGCAAGCAGTATACAACCGGCCTGCGAAGCGTTTGCATTTCTTTGAAGCCAGGCTGGAAAAAAGTGATGGGATCCTTTTACTCAGCTCAAGGAGCTACGCACACAAACGCACATGTGCGCACACACACACACACAAAAACCACGCTCACACACACACACACATGTGCCACACACAAAAACCCAGGCAATTGAGATGTGCTGGGCATACAACATGTGAACATGTGAAGGCCGAAATACAGAAAGCTTCTAGTTGAACCCAGGGCGCACAGCGAATTGAATCGGTTCTTCCGCTTTGGGCTGCAGGCTTCGGATGCCTTTCGAAAGCCGAAGGATCTGGGGGAGCGGCCCGACTGGAAGGAACTCGCGAGCCTCTTGGACGGGTCTTTTCGCCGCCTTTTGTGGAAAATGGTTCGACTCGTAGTGAAGGATTCCTTTTTGAGGGGGTCGCCAATTTTCTCACAAAAGGTGGCAAAAAGACCCCCCTGCACTTGGAAGGAACTCGACCGAATGCAAAAACCTCTACACCCTCACCGCTTGGCCCGCTTCACACCAATTGGCTTGCATGCAAGTGCCGTGCCCAGGACCAAGCTGCGCCACTTGCGGACACACTTGCAAAGCGGAAACCCGGACGTTTCATGCGACTTCCCAAATCATGTTGTCAGCATCCGTGGCAGTCCGAAACAAACCAAGTGAGTGAGGTTGATTCATTGAATTTGGTTTCAGCCATTCGGGCAAGCTAGGTTGCATGATATGCGTGGACCCACAAGCTTCCTCATAGATGAGTGGGAAGCAAAGTCAAAGATGGTCAAAGACATTCTGCCAGACGGTCAAAGATGGTCAATATATCCTTTTGTGGTCAAAGTGAAAGATGGTCAAAGATGGTCAAAGATGCCATCCACCAGAAAAGGATATTTTCCGAGCAACTGCTCCGGTTGCACAAGTATGCCCAAGTGCAAATCCCTACCTGGATAAGTCTTCGCCGGCCTGCGGATGCCTTCCAAGACAGCCCCGTGAGCTGACATCGAGCGCCCCTGTCACCCCTGAATGCTCCGGCCAAAGTGCATTGCGGTACCTTCCGGGGTATCAAATCTCAACCCCTGGCATCTGGGTGGGCAAAAGTGTGTGGTCCGTGATGCTTCCGGCTTTGCTTGGCCACCCCTATGCCAACACTAGATCTTGATGGTTTTCGTGCCGTCTCGACTCACGGGAGTTGCCGCCGCATCCAAGTCTCAAACCCGCGGTCTAGCCAATCCGTTTTCCTCGGTTTGAGGCACTGGCCAGCTCGCAGCGAGCTGACAAGATCGATCCCGACTGATCAAACAAACATTGAGCCAATGGTCTCCTTAAAGGAAACAGTAAGGAATAGTTTCTAGGCCCTCCAGTAGAGAGGCTAGAATAAGGGTACCCTTTTTCTTCTGCAGTCTATTTTAGTACCTCCCACAAAAAAGGGGTGAGAAATGGCACTACTGGGGGACCTAGACCTAGCTGGGCCCCTCGGAGCACTGAAGCCGAGTCGACCTTCAGGGGCTTCTCTCAAGCCGTAGCTCTGGCGAATAAAAGAGGCCCTCGGCCCAGACCTGCGAACCTGCGCGGTCGAGTCAGATGTGGGCGTATCAAAGCAACCATATTTTTGAGGGTTGATCCATATTCCATTTAGGGCGGCCAGTTTTGCCATGGTGGGAAATATCATATTTTATTTTGTTTAGTGTCTGCCACAATGGTCATCCCGTGTAAAGGACACTTTGATCAACCCCCATTTGTCAAGGGGTATTCCTTCATGATTGAAGGTCGGCCCGCCACATCTTGATTCATACATAGGATGCCACTGCTTGCTTGGTGTTGCTTCCCTTGGCCCAGCAAATTGATCTTAACTGCTGCAGAGCATGTATTGCCACAAGGGGTCAAGTTGGAATGAACCTCGAGGTGCTGGGAGTCACCGTATCATCATATAAAAGCTGCCAATGGCTTGGGCAAGCAATCAAGCTGTGCTTTGGGAAAGCCATGTGATTGCTCTCTGTTAAACGGTTCAAAGGACAAACCTTTTAGGACTTCCAAGCTGAAACAAGCTTGACCATTGACCATGCTGTCTGAGAACAGCTGCATTTGCCACCCTGACCGGCACCGCACGTATACTGTCAGAACAAGGGTGACGGTTTCTGGGCGCAGCAGCACATGGATCACATGGCAACACCATGACACACTGGAGAACAATGGAGGCTACTTTCCGGCTAAGCTTGTTTCAGCTTGGAAGTCCTAAAAGGTGCGTCCTTTGAACCGTTTAACAGAGAGCAATCACATGGCTTTCCAAAGCACAGCTTGTTTGCCTGCCCAAGCCATTGGCAGCTTTGATATGGTGATATGGTGACTCCCAGCACCTTCAGACAATAGAATGTGTTAAATAGTTTCGAAAATACCAAGCTGTAAAGCTAGAATACTCATCCATGGCGCATCCTAGAGTGAGAATATCGCGAAACCGGCCCAATGTTGCAGCATGAAATGTGCGCTATGTTGTGACCAGCTGCGTGGTTCATGTGCCGGGTGCCAGGTTGTCTGATAAACGCTTCCCCGATTCTGCGATCCGGTAAGTGCTGAACAATGCTAGACAGGGTGTCATGTCATCTCAAGGGTTCAACCAACCAAGTAATTCCCCAACAAACCACCCAAGCACCCACCCAACCACCCCACCACCCATCCCACCCACCCCACCCCACCCACCCCACCCGCTCTACCCACCCCACACCCACCCCACCCCACCACCCACCGCACCCCACCCCACCCACCCACCCCACACCCACGCCCACCCCACCCAATCACGCCAAGTGCCTCAGCTCAACTGTGAGCTTCCTGGCGTCAAGCTGAGTCGGCAAAATGTCAAGACACGGCCTGCTCAGCCAACCCAAAGTTGCAGAAACCTCTGACTGGAGCATGGGGCAGAGGAATTGGCAAAAGCTTTTGGTCTGTGAGGCTGAGTGACCCAAAAACCTTTGACTGGAGCATAGAACCAACCCAAAGTCACAAAAAAATGGTGAGAACCCGAGCAAAAGGCTTCAGCATAGCTCAGCAATTGGCAAAAGCTTTTGGTCGATGGGTCCGAGTGACCCAAGTTCTCCCATTCCCTTCCCGCCTCCATTGCTCCCCCGCTTATCTCGGTGCGCCTCATGTGGGCCTGAGTTGTTTCCCTTCAACCACAAAAGCAGGAGCCTCCCCAACATGCTCCAAGCAAAGGGGCACGCATGTCTGTTTCCCATCCAAAGGCCCGGCGGCAGAAGCCAATTCCCATTGGAGGTGTTGAACGTTACGCGCCCAGCTCAAGGCGTTGCATCTGCGCCAAGCATCTGATTGGAATGTCCACAAACGCAACAAATCGAGGACAGGTGGCGGACAACTTGCGCCTGGCTGCTGCCAAAAAGGCAACTTTTCTCAGCTGGGGACCCGTGGGGCCACTGCCACCAACATTTTGGATTGCCGCGCTTGTCCCAAGGGACTAAAACTCACTTCCTGAGTAGATTGGCCGAAAAAGGCACCCAAACTGGTTGTTTACCGCTGAAATGGTCCAAGCCCAAAAAGTTGAAAGTCTAGGACCTCAGCAAGTGAGCAAAGCACCAAAGAAGTTACATGTGGCAAGTGGCATTGGCCGGCTGGCGGTCAAACACTTGTAGATGACGCTCAGCCCTGACCCGAATGCCCCAAGCAGCCAACATGCTCAGAATACCGACCAAGCTTGGTGGTGGAATGTCACCCAAAGATCGAAGGGCCCAACAAGCGCGCTTCCCAAAACAGGATACGCCTTCATCGCATAACATTGGTGCGTCTTGTTCTTGAGGGCAGTCCTTTCTTTGCGGTTTTAAGGACACCAACAGGAAACCAATCTTTCTTTTGTTCTGCAACATCGACAACAACAGCAACAACAACAGTAGCAGCAGCAACAACAAAAGTAGCAGCAGCAACAACCACAACCACAACCACAACCACAACCACAAGAACAAGAACAAGAACAAGAAGGAGGAGGAGAAGGAGGAGAAGAAGGAGAAGAAGGAGAAGAAGGAGAAGAAGGAGAAGAAGGAGAAGAAGGAGAAGAAGGAGAAGAAGGAGAAGAAGGAAAAGAAGGAGAAGAAGGAGAAGAAGGAGAAGAAGGAGAAGAAGGAGAAGAAGGAAAAGAAGGAGAAGAAGGAGAAGAAGGAGGAGAAGGAGAAGAAGGAGAAGAAGAAGAACGAGAAGAACGAGAACAACGAGAACAACCAGAACAACCAGAACAACACCAACACCAACACCAACGACAACGACAACGACAACGACAACCACAACGGCAACCACACCTAGAACCAGAACCAGAACCA